GTTACTTTCCTATTGGTCTTCCTACCAATATGACCAAGTTGCGAAAACAAGGTCAAACAATTTCTATTCTTAGTTTCATATTTATTTTCTAATTAATTCTGAATTATATTAATTTGCTTATTTTGATGTTTGTTAAAATTTGACTATCGTTTTGTATTCACTAAGGTTTGCCCTATTCGAGCCCTCTCCGATGGTCAGCGCTGTCGCATTATTTTTGCTTGGCTTTCTCAGAAGGCCCCTCATTTGCTGCTTCTCGATGAGCCTACAAACCATTTAGATATCGAAACAATTGATTCGCTAGCTGATGCTATTAACGATTTTGAAGGCGGATTGCTTCTTGTCAGTCATGATTTCAGATTGATTTCTCAGGTAGGATTTTACCTTCTATGAATTGCGTAAACTAAAAATGAGTTTTTCAATTTTTATTTGGTAGGAAGGTTTGTCTGCCTCATTCATCCCCATCCTACTCTTCAACTCTATATGATCCCTTCTTTTCAATAGATGCCATCTAGAAATTTCTTTCGTTCTCTTTTTACTGCAGCAGCATGTTAAAATTGTTGATATTAAGACCAAGATGGTATGGTTGTACATCCTATGCGGTTGTTGTCAGTTATTCCAGCATGGGAATTCACCTATAAAAGTTGCGGCATCGGAGGATCAAATGAATGCATGCTGCGTTACGTCATTAACCTCTCTGAATAAACAAATAATCTACGGAAAAGAACTTAAACCAACTCAATATTCTTGTAACTTATTATGTTATCCCATAAAATCACCCTTAACGAGCCTTGATTTGCTCTTTGTATAGAAGAATATCTGGATTTTGTTTGATATCTTAAGGTCTGGGTGGTTTTTAACTAGATGTAGCTCATCATAGCTCATTTGTGGTTAATGTTTCTATCATTGCAGTCATTGCATATATACCGTAGGTATATATATATATATTCCACGATTCAATGCTGGAAATTATCATGAATACTATGGCAAAGGACGCAGGATTGGGTATGCTCCAAAAGGTCCCACTATCGCCCAGGCCAAGTCAAAAATCAAGATCAAACGAACGCCGAACCTGAGGTTACACCATCTTGGTTTTCCCTTACATCCCGTCAATATAAATTCTTTCTTACGAATTATTTGCTTTTGGATACTAATTTAATTTCTCCGGAAAGATGTTCGTTCTCGGCTCTGTTTATGCCTTATATTTATCTATTTTTCCTTACAAACATGCTAAGGGAAAATTTTAACTAGGAGGGATTTCATTAAAATAGCATACTCAGATTTCTAAAGAATTGAGTGCAATTTACAATATTGCCTCGATTTGTCGTGTCTTGGTTTTAATTCTATATTTTAATGCAAGAAATATCTTTATCCATAATAACTTGATTTTACTGTTTTTTGATTAATTCATTTTGAGAATCATCAAACAACTTTTTATGCAAATAAACACTGATTATTGGTTTGGCTACATGGTCTTCTTGGCATGGTGCAATTGCATACATTGACTTTATTTATTTTTAAATATTGAAGCTATGCAATCTTCATTATTTAGTTGCAATTACCATGATTTCGACGTTTATTTAATCATCAGTTATTTATATAACCATTTTCGAGGTTCCATTTTATGATGATGATACGACCATTGACCAATCCTATGCGCATATAATTTAACTAATTTTATGACCTATTAGTCGACTAATTTTATTGGTTATTAAATCACAGCAATTTAATATTTATATTTACCCCCCAATTAGCTTGTAAGATCGATTAGTCTTCTATATTATAACTCCATTTTTTATATACTTACAAAAATACTTGACAAGAATATACTGAGGCCAAGGTTTTTTTTGAAATCGATCTAATATGTTACCTTATATTACTGAGTACACAGCAGGCTCACATTCCCACTTGTTACTGCACTGATATTTTAGCCTATTTGTATATTTATACGTTGTTAATATTTTATAGGTTGCCAAGGAGATCTGGATCTGCGAGGATAAAGCTGTGACTCCTTGGAAAGGAGATATTTTCAGTTACAAAAGATATCTTGTCAATCGAATCGAAAAAGAAATGGCCAATCAACGACAACTCATTGAGCGATGATTGTAAAATTGGTTGTTCTCTTATTTGAATCCATATCAATGTTCCTTCGCCTACACGCCTATTATAGAGTGCCTTCATGGTCCCTGCATTTTAAAACCATTTAGTAGACCTTCCATTGTTTATTGCTTTTGAACATTAGGAAATCAAGATGACACTCGTCTTCTTTTGAAAATTCTCTCAACAGCTTTCTTATCCTTTGCAAAATTACCCTATCACAAACACTTTTTCTCGTTTTCTGGTCCAGAACTCAATCAGATTCATTGTTATTCCCTCCAGAGAAAGATGCTTTAGCCCCAGCATCTGGATTTGACTGCAAATTAAAAAAAGCGAATTAAACGATTTCTTTGTTCAGTAACAGCGAAAAGTGCACTAAACTTGATCAAATTTCATCTCACTCGGACTAGCCTTTAAATAATTATTTATAGAGGTTTCTTAACATTTAATGCAGGAGCTAGCAAACCAGGTTTCGCATTCAAAGGATTTAAAATTTTTTGTATTAATTTTATCCAAAAGTGCAATTTTTCTAAACTGCTTCACATTAGACTAATGTTGTATATATACAAAGGCAACTATGGAACGTATGAGATATATTCACATATTTCCTTTAAGGTGATAAAGGATTGGTGGTTAAATTTTACCACAATTTTCCATTGAATTTCACATAGCCTTCCTTTCCCAAAAAGTTTTCTCAACCAGACTGAAGTGGACTGCAGTTTCGACCTCGCCTAGGTCTTATCAGCACTTCCAGCGGAAGTCGAACCATGATAATGCAGCGTTTAAGATCGACACATTAACCACTTCGCTGCGAGTGCTCTTGGGTTACAGTGGACATATGAAGTTAAATGCTTGGCCTTTTTCCCATATCATATTCTTTGGTGGGAGTGTCGGAAGCAAATTTATATTTGCTAAAACAATCGCTTATAAGCATAGTTTCGATACTACCAGTATATCAGTTATATGAGATGTATTCTCTCTTTTTAATTTAAGGTTAAGGCTTAAACGCTGCACTCCCATGGTTCGACTCCTGCTGGGGCTGTTGATAAGACTTAGGTGAAATTGAAGCTGCAATCCACTCTGGATGAGAATAACTTTTGGTAATGCAATTCTATGTCAAATTTAACGCAAACATCAGCTCTACTCATATCATTGTGGGATAATTCTACTGCCAGTCATTCATAACCTTAAAGGAAATAAGGTGAAAATTTCTCAACTGATTTACTGGTAGTCTAGAAACTCTGCTTATAAACGAAAAACTGAGGAACTCGTTCCAAACATTTATAGACACTTCAAACACTAAGTACAGTTGAATCCTACAAGTGAAGTATTCACAAATGCCTTATGCCAATCACAGGAAAAATTATTCTTGCTAATCATCTTTAAAAAGTTGCAATATGTTCTGCATATTGAACTTACTAGTGCGGCATGGATGTTCAATTTTTAGTAAAAGGATGAAAGTATTATCCATACTGATTTATAGAATTCTCAAATTTGAAACAGTCTTTTATTTGAAACGGTGTGGGTATATACATGCAAAGATCTGTGTTTATACTCATTCAAAAAGGTTTTCATACCGATAATATCTAAGATTGATTATTCGTTTAGATATTGCATTATGTACATTTAAATCTAGTAGGTTCACAAGCACAACTATTCACAAATATGTGTATGTATGAACAGGTAAATGGCTCGATGTATGTTCAGTATGTAGCTTATCCTTCCATTAAGCTGTGCTGATGAAGCCCCTCTAATCACTGACATGATTTGGTTCGTTCATGGGTTAGGTATCATCACTTCATAAGCATATTTGGGCAGGCGTGGACCATGCTGAATTGTGACTTCTTTCTTAATACGCGGCTGAGCAGCATCGTCGGTGTTGCTTCTTGTTCGCATCTCCCTTGATTTGAGTCAAGCATGAAACAGATTTTAATCGATTAATTTGAAGTGAGAGAACGCGTTGAAAATCGGTGCATGTGACAACACAGCCGATGATTGCTTGAGGGGCGTCGCAGTACTAATTCTTGGGGGACCGTAAACATTTTTATATTTCAACTCTCATCGAGCAAACCCCTCGTTGGTGCAATTTTTATTTCGTCTGAAGAAGCGAATGGATGGGATCTGAGCAGAAGTCGAAGGAAGACTGCCTTGGAGCTGAGTAGATTGTGCGAATAAATGTTTAGTTCATCACAACATGATTCCGATGAATCCTTACTGAGATTTCGTCCGTCAACGTAAATCTTCAGGGCAGAACATTATTCGGTCAACCCACTTCTATCCTTCTCAATTTCGTTAGATATGCTATGCTTGATTAGTCTCAAAAACTTGTTTTTACTTTCATACCTAACACGTCTCACCAGTATTGCATTGACACAGCACATTTGCAATGGAACCCATTCTTGTGTAAGCATTGCAATGTCAAAAATACAGGCGTTTTAAGTGAGGATGTTGCTGTTCGGTCACAATTGTATCAGTTTTATTATTTACGTGCAGCCAGTAAACTTTTCCACAAGCGTGTGGGTAAATAATATGATCATTGTTGAAGTTACTTCCATTTCGAGTAAAAGTGTTTGGTAAAGAGATTCGAAGGTCCATTTCACCAGATGACGGCGGGTTTTTCTTGACCAGTTGTCGACTAGCTTTACTGGAACATTCATGGTGACGCTGCTTCCGAGGTAATCTCATTCGATTCCAGTGAAAAGGTGATAAACCTTCGTTCGTCATATGACGAACATCATCAGAGCAAGGTATCATCGTCACAACCAAGTTTAAGCTTGCCAGTTAAGAAAACTCATTGGAAAATCACTACAAAGCTGTGTATATATGCTCTATATCTGGTCTCTTTAATCTGGTATAAAATTATTTGGTTAGTTACAGTCATATGGCAACCTCTAGGCCTGTGGGTGTGTCTGTCTCTGTATGTGTATGTGCCTGCATGTATTAGTCTGCACAAAACCAGCAGTGATAGCTCAACGTAATTAGGACAGCAAAAGTAACGCCTGTTCTTGGCCATCAAGGTTTGACGACCACTATCTCCCTCTTTCTAAATGCATGTCATAGCCATCACTCCTGCTACGTAGGATCAAACGCACCTCTGGTTATGTCGATGAGCCCTTTTTTGTTTTTGGTCGGAGAAGTGATCGTGATTTGAACCAAGACAAGAAAAGACTAGATGATTCGCCTCCTTTTTGCAGGCGGCTCAACATCCTCTCTATCCTTGAGTCTATTAATTAAGCACAAGTAATTTTTACTTACCTTCTTGCCAGTATTCCTTACATTCTATGTATTTCATAT